CAGGTGAAAACTGTTTTTGGTGTTCATCAATATTTATAGTGGCTTCAAGATCCTATTTTTCTTTGCCTTTTCAATCTAATTTTGCTCTTAACGAGATATCTGATATCTTATCATTGGATTTTCCTTTGTCTTATATCTTTAATAATGCGTGTATCAAGAATATCGTCGAACACGATTAAATCGTTAATATTTAACTCGGTTTCCTTGCCTAGGAGATATGATTTACTGTGTACTTATATGTACTTAGCAATGTATTAGGATTAAAGATTTTAAAAAATCAATACTGTGCCTCTGTTCTTTATATTTTGTCCTATTAACTTACCGAAACTAGATATGGATAGACTACTAGTAAATCAGTAATATGAGATATATTCACCTAATTTCGTTTAAGGTGATGAAGGACTGGTAGAAGAATTTTCCCACAATGCACTGTCACGGTTCGACTCCCGTTAAGGATGTGTTGATAAGACCGATGTGAGGTCGAAACTGCAGTCTATCTTGGATAAGATCAACTTTCGGAAAACAAGGCTATGTGAAATTCAATGGAAACGTCAGCTCTACTAATATCATTGTGGAAAAATTCTTCTACCAGTCCTTCATCACCTTAAACGAAATTGTGTGAATATATCTCATAGATAGGAAGACTAAGGTGGCGTGGCCTTTTGTATGATTCCAATCTTATTTAGTCGTTTATTATTACTTTGATCTTGTTTTGCAATTTGGTAGAAGCGACAGGGAGGTCTTGTGGAATTACCTAGTATTGCGTCCTCTGCTATAGTTTTCGTTATTATTTCCAGCATCAGGACATTGACTTTGTACATTTTCAGACATTTCGTTGGCATCGTCAGTGAGAGACGCTATCATATGTACATCTTTGCTACTTATCAACGGGACAAGCGAAAGCAATCCCCTTGATCAATTTTCTGTTCAATCGTTTTGGCATAATTCCTCTCTCCTATTTTTCTTCCTTGCTTTTAGTGCTACATTTCTTTCTCTTAACCTTATTTCATTTAACCCATTTATCTACTCACA